CGGAGCAGTCAAGCCGCTGGCAGGTGGGTTCGAGGCCAGTGGCACGACAAATCAGCCAACCCACTCACTCCGGCCGATCGCCGCGCTCACGACGGCAGTCAGATGTACATGACGCCCACGCACCTGGTGGAAGCACAGGGCAAGACCGAAGACGGCCGTGACTTCATCAAAAGGATGCACACCGAGCTCAGTGCCACTTTGAACGAGGCCTGCAACGGTGGGCAGAGCGACGCGAACTGCGCCCTGGTTTCGCCCCGATGGATCCACGCGCGCAAACCCAGAGCGCATGCTATGAATTCCAGGACGCCCGGCGACAGCGTGGCTACGACGCCCGCACACCTAGCCACCATCTCAGGCTCAACGCCAACTTCTGAGCACACGCGACAGGAGCACATGACGAACGACTGAGGCAGCGCCGGGCGATCAGGCAAGGGACAAGACAAGGGCGCCTCTGACGCACGCAGCGGCAAGCAGGGCAAGCGCAGCCACGGCTGGGATGGGCCCCTCACAGACAAAGGCACCGTCAGTAGCCCCCCCCCCCTACTGCACACCCTGCCACATCCCACTGCACCTCCCACCATCTATCCTGCCTGGGGCATCCATGTCTTGCCTGTGCAGCGATCCGCTGCCTTCTCCCCCCGCCCTCCCCCCCCACCCTTTCTCTTCGCCCGGGGTCCGCCTGCGCCTGCTTCTGCTTCCTCGGCGCCCCCCCCCGGTGGCGGGGGCCGGGCATCGCCTGGGGCGCGCCTCTGCCGAGGTTACCATTTGCACCCTTACCCTGCGCATGTGCAGCGGCGATCAGCCGCCGGTCACGGGAACCGTCTGGCAGGCCTCCTATGAACTGCTGGACGCACTGCTGGATATGGCCGACGGCTGGCGCGCGCGGGGCGCCGGCGGTCGCGGCCCCCCCCTTTCCGTTTTTATTTTTCTTCTTCGGGATGGCCGCAAGGTTTCAAGTTAGCTGGGTTCGGGTGGGACTTGCTCCTAACCCCGCCAGGATAAACTTTCGCAGAAGGCGCACATGGTCTCCGTGGCGAAGTTCTCGCGGGCCGACGGCCGCGTCGCTGGTTGCCCGCCGCCCCGCGCTCGGGTTGCCCGCGGCGGTGGCGTTCAGCATTATTGCACGACTTCCTAGTGCCGGTCAGTCCACTGCTTCCGGGTCTCGGCGCGCGGGGCGCCTTGGCGGTTGCTCGCGTTGCTTGGCCGTTTCCGTGCGCTTTCCGTCCTGCGGCACTTGGTCGTCTACATCTACCCGAAGGGCTTTGCGCCTTCGGTGTTTATGCCCTCGTGCCCGTCTACAGCGTGGGGGCGTTATCCGACTGTCCTTTTCTGGCCCTCCTCTACGCGGTGCTGGACATCGCCACTTGGCGCCTCGAGGTCGTTTACCTCTCGGCTCCCGGGCCCCCCTCCCGAGTCCTGACTGTTCGGCTTGGTCCCCCCTTCAAGCGCCACCTGCACGGCAAGTTTGGCGCTCTGGTTCGCCGCCTCCACCTCCCCGGGCAAGCGTGGCGCCCGCCTCGCCTTCGCCTGCGAGGACTGCGCGTTCGACAAGGTTGCCTGGGGCGCGGACGGGCCTCTCGTCACCGCCACCCTGGAGCTGCGTGGGTCCATCCACTGTCGATTATGAGTTCCTTTGCTCGGCGTCCTGCTCGGCGCCGCTCCGCCACTTCGCGCAATGTTGGCCGCGCTGAGTTCCGCCTCGCCCTGGCGTTGCTCGCAGCTTTGGTTTTTCCCTTCGCGGGCGGCATAGCCTGCCCCTGCTTGCCCGGCGTCCGACTCGCACCCTGCGCCTGCGTACCACAAAGTACCCCCGCCAGCCCATCCAGAAACGACCAGCAGGGAAGTTGGTAAATCAGGGACGGCTGGAAGCATGCAGTTGCGCGGCCGTCTTCAGAAAGACAAGGATCACGAATAGCCTCCCGCACTGAAGCTTCAGAAAACCGTGCAAGATACGACGAGGTGCTCCCCGTGGTAAGCCTTTTTAGCGCAAGTGGCTGTATCCACCCTGGGCCATGAGAAGCAAGGATCACACATAGCTTCCCGCAGCGAAGTTCAATATGGAAACCAGTGCAAGATACGCCGGGGTGTTCCCTGTTGTAAGCGTTTCTGGCGCAGGTGATTGTGTACATTTATATACATATATATATATATACAAATATATATTATCGCACAGTTGAGAGTCTCGTCCCCATATGCATCCTGGATCTCTGCCCCCGTATTGAAGTTTATATTAAACTCGCGTGCGGCTGCTGGTGGTGGTGATGGTGGCGGTGGTGGTGGTTATACTGTTGGTGTGGCTGTTTGTGGTGCTCAGTTGCCCTCTTGGAGCCATGTTGGAGCAAGTGGTGCTGCTGGTGCTGGTGATGTGTGGGGCCATGTTGGGGGTAAGAGGAGGAGTAAAAGGAGGAGGAGGAGGAGGAGGAGGAGGGGGAGGAGGAGCAGGCAAAACAAAAAAAGGGGGAGGGGAAGGAGGAGGAGGAGGAGGAGGAGGAGCAGGAGGAACGCGGCGTGAGGAGGATGAAGATGAGCAGGGAGGCGGCAGTAAAGAAACAAGGAAGGGACGGACGATGACAAGGAGGACGAAAAGTCGGGCTTTGGGCATATGTCGTGGTGAAGGGTTCTCCGAAGACTCGTAATGCCAGTTGGGCGCCATCTTGGGGTCCTCTTGGGGTCCTCTGGGGGCCTTCCGGGTTTTTGTTGTTGGAGGGTCTTGGAGCCCTCTTGGGGCTCTTTGGGGGGGTCTGGGAGGCCTCTTGGGGCCGTCTTGGACCCTTTCGCTCAAAAAGAGGGGGGGTAAATTTACGCTCCCCCCCCTCGGAGGCCCAGCAAGGGCGTCTTGGGGCCATCTTGGGGCGCTCTTGGGGCCGGTTTTGGGCCCTCTTGGGCCTCTCTTGGGGGCATGTTGGACCATCGTGGAGCCATTTTGGCTCCTCAAGAGTCCATCGGAAACGAAACAGCGAAAAAGCAACAATCATGGTTTGTCTTAGGTTTTGAACCCAGTTTGGCCTCTGGGGGGGGTCCTTGGAGGTATCGGAGGGCACTTGAAACTGTCTTGGGGCCGCCTTGAAGCCTCTTGGATGCGTGTTGGAGGCTATCTTGAGCCGTCTTGAGGTATCTTGGGCGATTGGGCGATCTTGGAGGCCATCTTGGGCTAGCTAAACCCCTCTTGAAGCTATCTTGGGTCATCTTGGACGCTCTAACCCCTCGCGGGGGAGCCCGTCCAGACCCAGGGAGGAGGGGGGTAAACCTCCCGAGCAGGGAAAGGAAGGAGGCTGGAAAAGGAAACGCTCTAGACCACCTGCGCCCAGAGGGCTGGTGGGACTTGAGTACGACTCTTCTCTCTCCCCTGATACTGTCCAGTGCGAGCGCCGCCCTTCCTGCGTACAGTCTAATGGCCTTCAGCCCGTCCGCCACCATGCCTGGGTTGTGGGTCAGAGTTTCTCAGGGATGCTTCGCGGGGTCTCTTCGGAGCGCTCTCGGGGGCCTCTTGGGGGCAGTTTTGTGGCCTTTTCGGGAGGCCGCTTGGAGGCCTCTTGGAGCGTCTTGTAGGTCTCCTGGGGCGTCCTGTGGCCATCTTGGGCGTCCTGGAGCGATCATGAAGCGCCTCGAGGCCCTCTTGGACCATCTTGAGGCCCTCTTGGCCCATCTTGGGGCCATCTTGGGCCCGAACAAATCACGTGGGGAGATGCGGGACCCCCCCGACAAGCCGCGACAAGCCCAAGAAGATGTGGCAATGTGGCGTCCGGGCTTCTGAAAGACTCCTCAGAATCGAGGACGGAGGCTCAGGGGATTGGGCAAAGGACCTGGCGACACGTCCATTCCGTGACCAGCGGCACGGTTGGGGATTTCTGCTCCATGCAGAGCTTCGGAACACGTGCTTCAAGCGGCCAGACATGTGTTCAGACTACAGAACTTCGATCGGACCTTCTTTGACGTGGTCTGTCTTGCGTGCCTGTTCCACTGATAGGGGGCCACATGCGAACCCTGCCCCTGCTCCCCAAAATTTCTAAGGGGGAGGGTGGGGTTCACTTCGCTCCCCCTCCCTTTCAGAAATCGTGGGGGGTAGGGGCAGGGTTCGCATGCGGCCCCCTAACTCAGATCGTCCTCGGCCGTTCGTCGTCGGCCGCCTCGAAGGGCGTTCTCGCTTAAATGCCCGCCGGCTCTCCCCCCGCTCCCCTGCTACTGTACAGTGCGGGCGCCGCCCGGCGATCCCCCGATCAGACAAACCTTGCGGAGTTCGTCGTCGATCTGTCGTTGTCGTCGCCATCGTCGTCGTCGTCCTCCTAATCCTAGTGGTCCTTATTGGCTTGTTCGTCCTTCTCCTTTTCCTCCCCCTAGCCATCCTCCCTCCCACCTCCTTACCCTCCGTAATCCTTTCGCCTGGCCCCCCGGCCCTTTCGCGCTGCAAATACCGTATAAGGGCCAAGGTATCTTTCGACATTTGCATCGGCGATCGAATAATTGAGCACAATGGATGACGATGGATGGGAAGGATAGGATGTTAGATATAGATATGGCGCGAGCGCGCCTAAATTCTCCTCTCCTTCTCATTATCCGTCGTCGTCCCGTCGTCGTATCTTTCCTCCTCCTCATCCTCCACCTCCTCCACCGCGGGCGGGTTCCCTGCGTTGCCTCCTTTGCTGATCTGACGATCTCCCAAAGGATGTTTCTGCATGAGCTACCCCCGCTGAGCACTCGAGAGCTGCACCGTGTACTGATGGCTCCCGATCTGTGCTTGTCCACATTCAGTTCGCTGCGAGCTGGAGGGCAGTGCCGCGGGGAGCGACATCGAGGAGTTATCGCGGCCAGAGCCCGCGTCCATGCCCGCCGCAACCGCTTGATGCGAGACCTGCTCTCCCGCTAAACCGCCCCCGAGGGCCTTTCCCGGATCCCCTGCTCGACGGGTTCGCTCTTTCCCTCGGGGGCTTCCATTTCGCCGCGCGCGCGCGGGACCAGCTGGACGGGTAGGGCGTCCGCGACCCTGGCCGAGCGACCCAGAGGTGCTGGCCGACGCGAAGGGGGCGCAGGAGGCCGTGGAGAAGGCCATCCAGGTTGGCTTGCTAGGGGGGGCGGTCGGAGAGAAGAGGAGGGAAAGGGGGGAGGGGGAAGGGGGAGGAGGAGGAGAGAGACGAGGAGGAGGAGGAGGAGGAGAATCCCGGTGCAAGCCCAAGAGTCATCAACGATGTTGGAATAGACCTTCCCTCCCTCCGAGCTCCCTTTTCATAGGCCCCTACAACGGTTCAATCCCACTGAGGGAACTGCCTCGTTGGAAGACAACCGTTTGAAGACCTTGAAGCATGCCGAAACATTGTCATCGGGAATGTAACGCCACGGATAAACTTGACTGTTGCGTCTTGACGGTCCTGAATCGTGCCCGAACGCCATTCTTGGGACGTCACACTGCGAATCAACGTAATTGCTGCACCCTCATAATCCTGAATCCATCCAAAACGCTATTTCTTGTACGCTGATCATGGGAATTCGTAAAAGTCATGCAATGTTTAACGAATGGTCGCGGCGCAAAGGCGAGAGCCGCATTTTGAAAAGGAACCGCCTTCAATCCGTGAAACGCTTGCAAATGTTTGAAACGAGTGCACGCTGCGCTAAGGCGAGAGCCACATTTTGAAAACGACCCGCCCTCCATCTGTGAAACTGTTACCAACGTTTGAAGCTTCAGGGTCATACATGGTGAGGGAGTCTCAGGCGAAACGCCTGGCCAGCCCTAAAAACTTGCCTCGAGGTGCGACAGGGACGAGTTATTGATACAGAAAAGAAATGGAAGAGGAGGAGGAGGAGGAGGAGGAGGAGGAGGAGGAGGGGCAGGGAGGAGGCGGAGGAGGAGGAGGAGGTGGGGAAGGAAAGGGAGCGAGAGGGAAGGGGGTGGGGCTGCTGCATGCAGCGGGCTTAGGCTCCACCGCCAGGGGTCTTCCTCGGTACGTGACCGCATCCCAGCGCGGGAGGCGCCAAAATAATCAGTTGCATGCAATTGATTCGGATTCCGCCCTCTTCCCCCTCGATCGCTCGCCTTGTCCGCAGCCATGGGCTCAGTGATCAAGCTGTTGTTTCGCCATACTACCCGATATCGGACTCTGAGCTGTCACATTGAACATGGTTGCGAGAGCTTTTGCCAGCGCGGCGATGGCCATCACCAGCGCGAGCGCCCTAGTGCTGGAGTATAATGTGATCGGCACCCATGGCGCCTCTTTTAAGAACGGCGTTGAAATGAAGGCCGAGGTCAGCGCTAAAGCTTCGTCTACAAGTATCGGCTCGAGTTTGAAGAGCGAACTGCCGCGCACTGTGCTGACAGTTTCCGAGCAGGACGGGTGCGGCACTGGCCTTGTTATTCTTTCTCCCTTAGTCATTTCCCTCCCCGCGTCCCTGCTGCTACTTCTCCTCCTCATCATCATCGTCATCCTCATCCTCATCCGTACCATTCCCCCTTGCTCCTTCTACCACTCCGCCTTCCCCTCGTCATCCCTCCTCCACCTTCGTCACTATTGTGCCTCCTCGCTCCTCGCCCGTTCCCTACCTTTTCCTTCTCCTTCGCGTCCGCAGGAAGGGTGCGGCTCCAACCTGACCGGCTACTTGATCACAGGCAAGGTGCGATTGGAAACGCGATGGAGGAGGAAGGAGGAGGACAGATCGGAGAGGTTGATCAGGAAGAGGATGGTATAGAAGAAGCGGGTGGGAGGAGGATGAGGAGGAGGATGAGGAGGAGGACCAGTGTAAACCCAAGAGTCACCAACGATGTCGGAATTCACCTCCCCTCCGAACTTCCTCTTCATAGGCCCCTACAAGGTTCATTCCAATTGAGGGAACTGCCTCGTTGGAAGACAACCGTATGAAGATCCTGAAGCATGCCAAAACATCGTTCTCGGAATTGCAACGCCACGTATCAACCTGACTGCTGCGTCTTGACGATACGGATTCGTGCCAGAACGCCAATTTTGGGAATTCAACACCGCGAAACAACATAATTGTTGCACTCGCATAATCCTGAATCCATCCAAAACACCATCTCTAGTATTTGAATCATGGGAATCCGTGAAACCCTTGCAATGTTTAAAGCGAATACGCGCGGCGCAAAGGCGAGAGCCGCATCTTGAAAAGGAACCGCCTTCAATCCCTGAAACGCTTGCAAGTGCTTGGAGCGAATGTGCGCGGCGCTAAGGCGAGAGCCACATTTTGGAAACGACCCGCCCGCAATCCGTGAAACTCCTGCACACGTTTAAATCAAATGTGCGCGGCGCTAAGACGAGAGCCACATTTTGAAAACGGCCCACCCTCAATCCGCGAAACTCTTGCAACGTATGAACGAATGTGCGCGGCGCTAAGGCGAGGGAAGAAGTCTTAGAAGTCTCAGGCGAAACGCCTGGCCCGCACTAAAAACTGGCCTCGAGGGAATGGAGGAGGGAGGGAAGCAAGGAGGGAAGGAGGGAGGGAGGGAGGGGGTTGAGGAGGAGGAGGAGGCGGAGGAGGAGAAGGAGGAGAGGGAGGAAGGAAGGGGGGGCGACAAGGGAGGCGGAGGAGGGGAAGTGGAGAAGGGGGAGGACGACGAGGGAGGACGAGGGAGAAGCAAGGATAAGGAGAAGGAAGAAGGAGGAGGGGGATATGGGGGATGGGGGGAGGAGGCACGACGAGGTTGGAGGATCACAGGCTGGGCAATACAGCCAGGAGGAGGGAGGAGGGGGACGAGAGAGGAGGAGGACGAGGGAGAATGACGATGGAGGAGGACCAGGACGAGGGAGGGGACCAGGGAGGAGGTCGAGGGAGGACAAGGAGGACGAGGGAGGGGGCGTCGGAGAAAGGACCAGTAAGAGGGAGGAGGACGAAGGAGGGAACGTGGAGGAGGGAGACGAGGGAGGAGGACGAGGGAGGGGCAATGATCAGGGGCAGAGAGAAAGAGGAAGCTGAGAAGTCCTTCGTCCCCGTGCCGACCTCCCCCTGAGGATCCAGACATCCGACGTCATGGTCTGTCTGTGTTATGGCCCCCCCGGACCTCTCGACCTCATCCCGGGGTCCAGTTCCTCGTCCCGCGCAGTTCCCCGATGGTTTTCGGACCCGAAGCGGGCCGCCCGCCCCGTGTTTTCTCGTGGCGCCGGGCGTCGGGGGATGTGGAGGGAGGGGGAGGAGGACGACGAGGATGGGAGGATGGGGGAGCAAGGAAAAAGAAGAAGGGGGAGAGGGAGGAAGAGGGGAGAGGGCGAGGCGGGAGGGAAGGGAGGAGGCCCAGTCGTCCAGGCAACGGCATGTTGTGGTCCGACGGCCAGCCGGGAACCGCCAGGGACCTGGCCGACTGCCGGGCAAGGTCCAGGGGCTTGGGCAAAGGCGAAAAAGCCCAGGAGGGCGCTGCGCGACGTCCCCCTCCCCGTCCCTTCACTTGCCTCCTCCTTCTTCATCGTTCCCCTTTTCATTGTCCTCATCCTTCGCCCTGTCACACTCGAGCAGTAGGCTGCTGGGTGGCACGGCGGGCAGCACGCTTGTGGCATAGCCGGGAGCAGGGCTGGGCTATGGGAGTTTGGTTCAAGCTTGGCCAGGCTCTGCGCACGCGCCACAGCATGACTCGGGCGAAGAGAATTATGCACATGCACTGATCGTGGCAAGGCCCATCCTTGACCCAGGATCGGTGCATGTGCCTTCCTGGCCAAGGTAGGAGGGCGTATGCACCGATCCTGGGCTCAGGATGGGCCTGGCCAGAATCGGTGCATGTGCATAGTTCTCTTCCCTCTAATTACCTTACGCACACCGCTCTTTCACACCGCTACACAGACAACGTCCGTTTTCATCCACCGTTTTATATTCAGGTCGGTAGCGGAGCTTCTCCCTGAGCTGGGTCGAACTACGATCGACAGTCTCGGAGCGCCCTCGTCGCCACAGCCCACGCCTGCGGGGTGATTTCTGATGTTAAGCAGTCGCGCGTGGCGACGTTCACATCCGCAGTGACGGCGCAGGACCCCGAGCTAAGCGCAACTGCGTTGCGACAGCCCGAGGGGGACAAGGATCAAAATGTGTCGCCTCCACTGCATTCGCTTGTGGGTGTAGCCGGCTATGTCAAGCAGTCGTTGGATCCAACGTTCACATCGTGGACAGAGGCAGAAAGCCCTGAACCAAGATCAATTATGCTGCTAGAGCCGCGGGAAGCACACGCAGGTAGGAGCAGGACTAGGGGGGTCGGGCATTTGAGTTGCCAGCCTTCGGGGTATTGTCGCACGAGTCTGGGACTATTCTCTGTCGGTTTCCCGGGACATGACTCCCAACGTTTCCTGCGCATGCCTTGGTGCAGGACAGACTTGGTTACCTATCCATACTCCTCCGGAATATCATCCATTTGGCAAGGCACAGCACTGTGACAATGCGTCGAACGAGGAGTTGAAGCGCCACAGCGTGGCGGGATGCTCTGAGCGCAGCCTGCACGCCAATCGCGCGACAGAAGAGAAGACCCAATGCGCCGATGAGGAGGAGCATACCCGAGTCCGATACCCACGACGGCTGCGAGGACCACTACCTGGGCATCGCCGCTGGTGGGTACCAGGTGGCCCCACTCCGGATGGAAGGCCATCGGAGTGGGCACGGTCGCTGCCATCAGCTGCGTCGCCTGCATGGACGCGCGCGGCGGCGGCAGCGACGACGCGCGACGCCTCCGCGCCTGGGGGCCCGCGGCCGCCGGCTACCCCCATCCAAGACGGGCGCATCAACGGCGACCCAGCGCCGCGCCCATGGCCCACCTCGCGCACAGCCCGGCCGAACGACGGGGCCAGCTTGGGGAGGGGGCGCGCGCGCAGGCGGTGTCGGCGCTGATGAACTCCGACCGACTGCCTCAGGATCGCACTGACAACCACCAGGTTGGACATCTTCTGCAACGGGGCGCAGCAGGACGGTCAACTCATGATCGGCCACAAAGGTCTGAGCTACCTCTTGCCGCGCGCGGCGGGCGCGGCGAACGCCCGGCCCGCCGCGATCCTTCTGCGCCGCAGCATGGCCATCCCGACGGGCGCGCCACAGCTGGCACGCATGATGGGCCAGCTACGTCGACTAGGCCATCTCGCCGGGCCATTTCGCTCCGGCCATGCATGCACCGCGCCGCCAAGCGTCTCTCACAGGCGCGCCATCAGAAGATCAGGATCAGAGCGCCTATGGCGCTGGAGGTAACCAGAGTGCCTTCGGCACTGGGGCCGATCAGAGTGCCTCTGGCACTGGGGCCAGATCGAGCCGGGGCGGCACGGGCCCTTCAGCCCTCGGAGCGGCACCGAGCCCGCCAGCAGCAGGTTCTGGCCCCGGCGCCGACTCCGACGCCATCAGCTCGCGCGACGAGGAAATCGCCGCCGACGGGCCCGAATTACGAAACGTCTTGCGGGACAGCGCGGAGCTCGCCTCTCCCGGGCCCGCGAGCGCGCCGAGCCCCGACGGCCCGGCGGCGACGCGTCAACCACCACTGGCCCACGCGCCGCAGGCGGAGGGCCATCGAACGCAAGGGCAAAGGCAGCGGAAAAGGCCACCGCGCCGCCCTGGCAGAACAGTCCGACACTGACCCCCTCGCCACTTTCGCCGGCCCCAGGACAAGCGCGGCGAAGGGAAAGGGTAAACATATCGGACCAGTGGAAGGAGATTCGACCGACAGGGCAACCAGCCGGGCCCAGACGGAGCGCGTCTCAAGTGCCACGAGCGCGACTCATCGGAGCACCTCGTGCGCGACTGCCCCCGTCGGCGCCGGCAAGGTCGCGCCCTCCCCTCCAACGTCCCAGCCTCAGCAGCAGCGCCGCCGCCGACGCCAGCCCCCCCACCACTTGCGCACCCAGGGCGCCGCGGAGCGCCTGGGCCAGCGCAACAATCAGCCCCGGGTGCCTACGTGGTCTGGATGATCACGGAAATTTTCGGAATGCTCGAATTTGCGGTTCTGGGGCGCGACAGCGGCTGCCCCGCGCAGAGCGCTGGCCCCTGGAACGGCGGCCAGCCAGCCAGCCCACTCCAGCTTCGGCGTCTGCGCGGCCAGCACCGGCAGCTGCTCCCAGTGCTTCGCCCGACGGGCCCTGGCCGGCAGTTGGACATGTCCAGTTGGGCAGGCGCGTCATCGCCATCATCGGCGTCGCCCAACCCTTTTAGAGCCACGCTGCAGCGACCGCGCCAGGAGGTGGACGACCTCGTGGTCCGCGCGCAACAGGGTTCCTGCTCAACTGACGGATAGGGCAATTGCGCTGCCATTCCGAACGGCAGGAGCGGGGAACGCAGCAGCAGCGGCACCCGCAGCGCCAGCAGGATAAGCAGCACCATCATCACCGACAGACAGCGCTGGGCCGGAGTAGCCGGCGCCTTCCCGCTGAGGCTACAGCGCGGGCGCAATTGGGCAAGCGACGTTCAATGCCCGAGCCGCTTTGCCAACTACCCCACCTGCCGAGGTGCAGTTGCCGAGCTGGCCCTACATGTCGTCAATCTCAGCACTCGGCATCAGCGCGCCATACATGGGTCGAGCTCCGCGCGGCCACCACGGTCCGCACCTTTTGCCGCGTCACCACCGATGCCGGAGCCCCCAACGATCCGGCTCGCACGCCCCCGTTGACGTGAGCCAGCCACTTGGAAGAGCGGCCAAGTGGTTCGCCGGCTTCGACACCTGAACGTCCAGCGGCGCGCGGTCCGAACGCGGAGTAGGCCCCACGCTCGACCGCGCACGACGTCGACGCCCCCGCGAGCTCGACAGCAACAAACTAGCACTCGAGCTCTCACGGCAGCAGGACGAGCAGCGACGACGGGCCGCGCAGAGTCGGACCGAGACACCGACAAATCCACCACCTGCGCAGGCCGCCGCACCGACTGCACCCCACGTCGCGGTCTTCAACGGCGACGATCGGGAATGTCCGATCTGCTTCGAGACGCTCGCGCACGGTGACCGAGTGGCACGCGCGCAGCGCCGCCGCATCTTGCACCGGGCACACCGCCTACAGCACGCGCAGAGCACCGACACTTCGCTGGCGCACTGCCCAGCGCGCCGCGGCCCGGCCGACGCCATCGCCGATTTCCGCTTCATTGGCGCTGATCGCGCCGTGACGAGCCCGGCAATTGCGTCGCAAGCCCGCGCGGCAGATCCTGGCACTCCGGGCAATTAGAGCACCCGCGGTGCCAAGCCGGGGGCGCCACGGCAGGATCGCATGCTATCACTTGGCAGCGCTTCAGGTCTCATGTCCGCTGCCGACGTAGTGGTACCTTGCGACACCTACTTGGCCTCGCATACTCCGCCGCACCGACCAACGTCCCCGCCGTGGCCGACGTCGTCGGGCACTGGACCGAGCACGCCAACCGACCCGCCATATTACCTGGCGCGCACCGACCCTTAAGGCGGCTGGCTTAACGTCGTTGCGGACACCGTCGCTTGGGCCAACTTTTGGTGGCAGCGTTTCGTTATGAACCTGGCCGACAAGGCACTGAAGGCCGGGTTTCAGCCCACAGATGAGAGGTAACGTCTCCACCATATATGGCCGGAGTGGGCAGCGGTTCACAAGTTTCAAATTGAGAGGTGCCCTGCCCAGTCGTGGTTACCACCCGCGACGGCGCGACCGCCGAACGCATCGCGCGTGCTTCTGCCGCGGAGGGCGACCGTCTCGATCTCCCTGCCCCACTTGGCCTGCCACTCACGCATTCCAAAGACGAGGTCGCGGAGACAGGCGCGGCGCACGAAATCCTCGCATTCCCCGGTCCCAGAGGCCATGCGATCACCGATCACCTGGAGCCCATGCACCATGCACTTCGATCTAGAGTCGGCCCCAAGTGGCCACGCACGCATACCAGTCGACAATTTGACCAGCTCAAACCTGAGACCGGAGGACTTCCACATAAGCAGCTCACACAACTAGCAGTGGGCAGAGATACCCAGGACAGCGACTCCAGCGACAGCCGAGATTTCAAAAAGCTCAAGATACAGCTTCTCAACCCCAACGCACAAGCACCAGTGCGGGGTGCACTTCAGGCAGCAGGTTGCGACCTATTCGCCTGCGCGGGCGTCAGCATAGCCACCCGTGGTTTCGAATGGATGTCCACGGGCGCGGCCGCTCGGGCACCGCCGGGCGCCTACCCGCGGTTCGCCCTGCGCCCAAGACTTCTCCTCAAGGGCATCGACGTCGCGGGCGGAGTGGTGCACCCCATCTGCCGCGGCGAGGTCCAGGTGATCATGCACAACGCCTGCCCGCGGACACTCGCGGTCGAGCAAGGCTGGCACATCGCCCATCTCATCCTGGAGTGCATCATTACAAACTTCAACATTGGGGTCGCTAGCCGTCTTCGCTCATTCTTTCGCGGCCGCGGAGGTTTCGGTCACGCCGG